AAACTTTTAATTTTGATAAATTTGCTAATTGTTATAATCTCTGTAAGGTCAGGATTATCAATATCCCCATAAACTGAGCAGAAAAGAAAGATGAAAGAGTTTGGAAAGAAAGATGAAAGAGGTTGGAAAGCAAAAAAATGGCAGCATCACCATCTGAACACATGCCCCCTGATCTCAGAAACTCCACTAAGAGTGGTTTTCAGTGCTCAGGAATCCACTGAGAAGTTCTCTGTTGACACTATTGTAATAGTAATAACCTTTCCCTGAATAATGGGTATTACGAAAGGGAGGTATTTTGTAATGGAGGAATATTTATTTGGTCACTTAGCTTAACGTCTCTAGTTCCTTAGGATCTCCTAAGCTCTGTGCTGCCCAAGGCCCACACGAAGAGGCATTGAAATATATAAAAAATTATCATGACTAAGAACCATAAAGCCTTGATGAAAATTTTTTATAATTTTAAATTATGCAGTAGTCTCTTGTTCTATTTGAACAACTGCTTCTTAGGTTTTGCATGAGCACAATTAAATGTTCTGGAATTCTCATTTTTCTCAATGTTAGCCAAAATCTGTTATGATCCACTTAGTCAAAAGCCAATGTGATTATTTGTTTTATTGATTAATAAAGCCATAAGTAAACATCCTTCCAGTATTCTCTGCTTTCAGACAAGATCCACCTGACATTAACCATAATATTCCTCGGGCCATGCATGGCCTTTTCTGCAACTAGTTTGAATTTCTGGAGGTTCCATGTCTATACACTGCTTCAGCCATTTCTTTACTTTCTGAGGAAGAATGTGACATCAGGATTGAAAAAGACTTATCAATAATCTTCATTAAAGATGACACAACTAGAAAGTGAAGAAGATTTGAAGCACATACTGCAGAAGATCAAAGAATACAACCTTCAGTATGGGTTACATCTAAACATCAAAGATATAAATGTCCTGACCCCTGGACCAATAGAGAATATCGTAATAGATGGAAAAATGATTGAAGCTGTCAACCATTTCATTTTATTTGGATCCAGCAGTGACACAATCAAAAGATATGCCACATTAGGGAAATCTGCTGTCTAGAAGTACATAGCAAAGATGTTACTTTAAAGACCAAGGCCTGATCTAAACCAAGCCCTTTTTTATTTCTTCTTATACATCCAAAAGTTGGACAATGAATAAAGAAGACTGAAGAAGAAGCGATACTTTTGAATTGTGATGTTGTTAAGTAGTACTGAATATTGTTAAGTAGTACTGAATATCTCATGGGCAGACAAAAGAATTAACAACTTTGTCCTGAAGGAAGTGCAATCAGAGTGCTCCTTGGAGGGAAGGAAGGTGAAATTTCATCTCACAAGAGATAGAAATTACACTAAAAATGTGAGAGGGCCAGTGTAAGAGAAGATGACTCAGTGATATGGATTGATGCAGTGACAACAAGAGTGGACTAGAGCATGACAGAGACCATGACTGGTGCAGGATTAAGTCACGTTCAGAACCCTTGTTCATCGGATCACTATAAGTTGTGGTGGACTTGAAAGCACCTAACAATAAAACATTTATAGGTTTTCCCTCTGAACCTCTAGTCCTAAATCATTATCCATAGTTAACTAAAGATAAAAGTTGTATGTATAAGTAATTTTAATCCTAGAACTTCATTAAAAATACATAACAATAACTTTATTTGATAGATGCCTCCTCTCGTGACTTAGTGGTAAGGAGCTGTGCTGTTAACCCAAAGGCTTGTGGTTCAAATACACTAGCTGCTGCATGGAAGAAAGATGGACAATCTCCTCTTGTGCAATTTACTTCCTCTGAAAACCTGCTGGGGGTCAACTATGAGTTGGTTCCAACTTGATGGTACATGACAACAATAACCACCTATTGGTCTATTATGATAACTGAAGAATATGACCCTCATAAAGTCTTTTGATCCAGGAGAATTCAAAAAGAATATCCAGTAAAACAACCAAAGAATAATATATATCTACTAAGGAACTGTGTCCTGTACAGAAAGACTATCAGTGACCTTCATTAATGGACATTCTATCTTCTAAAACCATAGTAAGTCTGTCAACTTCTTGCTAATTGCAGTGTTAACACAATGAATGACAAAAATAGCTATTCTCACTCCCTTAGATCCTCTCCAGTGAAAATGACTGTTCAGACACTGTGATTATTAAATTTTCATTCTCACTGTCAACTAGGCAAGCCCTGATAAGATAAAGTCAATGAAGCTGCTAGCCAGAGAGGGTTGAAGAGCACCACCGTGTCCAAAGGAACAATCACATTTAGCTTCTATTTACACTTGTAGCTGAAACAAGATGAAAAAATGTCCACAAATTAGGATAGCAATAGTAAGTATTTTATAATAGGAAATTAAAGAAAACTGTTTCCCAGCGCATAAAAAATAAAAGACATTTATTACAATAAGAAGATCTCAAGTCTTTTTCTTTCCACTGCAACCTCGCAAGATGTAAATTCAGGCTATGATAGAACTATCAACAACGTTAGCATGGATGCTTAATATTCATAATAAAAGTTCCAAGATAAACCAGCACATAAATAAGTAAAACATGAAACACATGTCTTAATTTTAATGATTTAGATCTAGGAAAATGTGTTACTGTCTCTCCTTTCCTTTCAATGGTCGGCTTTTTATTGGAACGAACTAGGTCCTTAACAAACCCTCACACATAAACCTCAGCACATGGTCTAGTTAAATTTCTGATTGAGGTTTCAGCAAAAAACTTCATTATTGAATAAACTTAGAAGCAGACAAGTGCCATCTTTCTAAATCCTACAGCTGAAGTATAGGCTGGTGCGAGGACCAGAACCTAGGTCTGGGGCTCCACATTTTAGCAATTTCCTCATCTGTATTAACAAAGGTAGTACTGCAGAGTGGGGCAGAAATACTGTCCTTAACACAGAGAACTCAGTCAGGTGAAATGTGGAGCTCCTTGGCCTTTGGTTCTAGTTTCTGACAGTCAATGAGTAGAGGTTGACCAGTCCAGAAGGCATTAAGAAGGTGGAAGGATTAAGAGGTAGTCTTGAGGGACTCCATTTTGTAATCAATATGTCATTTTAAAATGTATAAGCCTCTAGAGCAGTAAACTGAAAGGGGTGGGGGAAGGGGGAAAAGAGCCCCCACTCAAACATAAGCCAATCCTGTATCGCCCTGTTTTTGCGGGCTTTCCCCTTTAAATAGGCAGGACAGTCTGATGCTGACTAAGCCTCGGGAGGCTAATGTACTCTATCATGGGCCTGGAGCGAGGCCACCTAGGATGACTAGGGCTCAGCAGAGCATTCTAGGGGGAGAGGGCAGTGTCTGTTCCCAGGAGTGTAAGTGTGGTCCCTGGAAACACGAGAACTCTGTGCCAAGAAGCCTCCCCTCGCAGACCTTGCCATGTGTATTTGTTTTTTGGTGGTTTTTTTCATTGTTTTTATAATTAATTTTAATGAAAATTTACAGAGACTTTGAATTTCCATTCATTCATTGTTGCTCTTTTCACCCCCCACAATTCTCCCCCCACCCAGTACACTCCCCTCTTGGAAAAGTAAAAGAAAAATTCTTTCATTGTTTTACAATTCCTCCCCCCAGGTCCACTCCACTATGCAGCCTTCATTCTGGACTCCCGTCATGACAAAAATACCTAATCACATATCCCTTTTAAACAGTTTTCTCCCTCATCTGTTTCAACGCAGTATACATTATTGAACCCATCTTTCTCAGTCTGCCCCCAACCTCGATGTCAGTCCTGTTGTTGTTTTTTTTTTAAGTTAGGGTGTGGGGTTTATTTTAATTATAAAAGAACTTTGGAAACCTTAACAAAGGAAAGGAATATTTCACACTGAGAAGACTCTAGAACGTAAATGACAAGTATTTGACTTCTGTTCTGACCCCATCTCTGAAAACACCAGAGATGATGGAGGAAGACAGCTGAAGCAAACAAGCGAACCTGTAGAACAGACTTAGAAACCCTACAAATGATTAACATCTAAAATTGTTTTGCTTTTTTTAAATTTTTTTTAATATATCAAAAGGCCTGCTTTAGTGACATGCTACTCCCACCAGAAAATAATCCAATACCCCCTTGTCGGTAACATGCTTAAGTTGACCAGCCAGCTCCTATTTCTAAACTCTTGAGTATGTGAGTGTGTGTAAAAGTACATATATCTTATCAACTTGATGACCCAAAGCCTCCTGCTTCCACACACTGGCTGACTGGCATCCACTCCTTTCAGAAGGGTGGGCAGAAACCTGCATGTGGTAGTGGAACATAGCCACTTCTCAAGCAGTGCTTCACTCTTCTCAAAAGGAAAGGCTGACTTCTAACCAGAGTACTCAAATAAATTCTCTCCTGGTGACTCCTTTTCTTTTTAGGAAAACACACATATTCACACACCCATATATATATAATTTTTTTGTTTTTACATTTAAATATAAAAATACTATTCTGCTTTGTGTTATAACATTGAGGGCCAAGTAGTATGAATCTTTTCTTAAGGCAGGGATATGTCCAGTCATATCCCTACCTTCCTTCTCAATTTCCATGGAGTCTCCCATCCAAACAAGGAAATTCTAACTTTACCACAGAATTAAGTCAGGCCCTCCCAATTCAGCTACCTCAATAAATTCCTCCTTTCCTTCCTTCACAAACATAAATGCTCTGTCTGGATAGCTATGCCTACTGGACAAACACGCCTGATTAAATGGAAGCGGTGGTTATGTTTCCCTACCCCCTCCCCTCTAATGCACTATTCCTCAGTCTTCAAGAAAGCTTCAGTGACAGGGAAAAGGGGAGGGATGGCCGTGAAGAGATTAAGAACTTGACCCCTCTACCCTGGCCTCAAAAAAGCAAGAGTTATTAACTGGGCCTGAGGAATAAAAAAGACCTCGATATTTTGCGCTCTGAATTACAGCTAGTAGAAACAAGTAGGAGAAAGGAGAAGAGGATGTGGGATGAAAAAGAGGCGGCTTTTGATGACTGGAGGTCTAGTCCATTTAGTTTTTATACTGGAAGGTCTCGTCGCCAGTTTCGTGGAGAAGACATGTGCGGATGAGGGCTTCTGTCACTGAGTAGGGATCACAGTTGGCAGAGGGGCGGCAGTCTTTAAAGTAACCCTTCTCCTCCTGGCCAACAGTTGGAGGAATGCGGATGCTGGCGCCACGGTTGGCCACACCGGCAGAAAAGTCGTTGATGTTGGAGGTTTCATGGAATCCGGTCAGGCACCGGGCGTTGTCCAGGCCTCCTTTGGGATCGTAGGCGCGGATGTAGTACTGGTGCCGCTTGCTTAGTCTCTCGATGAACTCCTCAATGTGCTTCAGGCCGTTCTCTTCTCGCATGGCCTTGGTGCTAAAGTTGTTATGACATCCAACACCGTTCCAGTTCCCAGGGATGGGCTTGGGGTCGAAGGTCGCTATAACGCCAAAGTCTTCACATACACGGTTTAGGATGAAACGGGCCACCCAGAGATGATCTCCCATGTCAATTCCTTCCCAGGGGCCTATCTGAAACTCCCACTGGGCAGGCATGACTTCTGCATTTGTCCCCCCAATCTTGATGCCGGCATATAAGCACACCCAGTAGTGAGCCTCCACAATGGCCCTGCCGTAAGCTTTATCTGCTCCCATACCACAGTAAGAGGGACCTTGGGGTCCAGGGAAACCATTGGAAGGCCAACCAAAGGGGTGGCCATCTGTCCCCATGAAGGTGTATTCCTGCTCCATTCCAATCCAGGGGTGTTGGTTGCTCACCATGTCCATTATCCGTTTACAGGTGTGCCTTAAATTGGTCTCTGCAGGCTTTCGGTTGTCCTTTAAGACTTCACAGAACACCAGCTTGTTGGGGTTCTTATGGAAAGGATCCCAAAATATGGCAGCAGGGAGGAGATACATGTCACTGTTAGAGCCTTCAGACTGGAAAGTACTGGAGCCATCAAAATTCCACTCAGGCAACTCTTCTATACTCTTGGGCTCAGAGTCTAGGGTTCGGGTATTGCAGCACAGTCCTTCTCCTGTGCCATCGATCCAGATATACATGGCCTGGACTTTCTCACCCTGAGGCAGGGCCATATACACCTGCTTGATGCCTTTGTTCAATTGGGAACTTGCTGAGGTGGACATGGTGGAAGGGGTTCTGGGTGGAGAGCAAGCTGGAGGGAAAGCTGGCGGTGAGAGCGAGGAGAGGAGAAGAGAGGTGGTCAGGTGTGCAGTTAGAAGAGAGACTCAACTCCCATTCTCGGCTCTCGTCAGTCCTGTTTTACAACAGTGGCACCATGCAATATTTGTCCTTTTGTGACTGAGATACTTCACTCAGCATAATGTCCTCTAGGGTCACTAATCTTGAATAATATTGCATGAGTTCCTTGTTTTTCAATGCAGCATAGCATTCCATTGTGTGAATATACCACAGCTCCTCTTCCATTTGTTTGTTGATGGCACTTAGGTTGTTTCCAACTCTTTGGTATTGTGAACAAAACCGCGATAAACATGGGTGTGCATATATCTGCTTGGTGGCAGTTATGGTCTCTTTGGGGTATATTCCCAATAGTGGAATTGCTGGGTCAAATGATATTTCTATTTGAACTTTTTGAGAAAGTGCTATACCGCCTTCCATAGTGTTTGCACCATTTTATATTCCCACCAACAGTGAATAAGGGTTCCATTTCTCCATAGCCTTGCCAGCATTTGATGTTTGCTGTTCTGTTAAATTTTGCTCTTCTTACTGGGGTGAGATGATATCTCATAGTTGTTTTGATTTGCATCTTTCTTAAAGCTAGGGATTTTGAGCATTTCTTTATGTGCTTGTTAGCCATCTGAATGTCTTCTTTGGTGAATTGTCTGTTCATATCCTGTGCCCATTTTTTAATTGGATTATTTACCTTTATCTTGTTGTGGCGGCCATGTGTATTTGTACCTTTTATTTCTTTCTCTTAGTTTTGAGATAACCACGTCCCTCAAATTTGTAAAGCATTCCAATATTATCAAACCTGTTTTTGTTGTTGAGTGCTTCGAATTTAAACCAATTAATACTGATTTTCCAGTGTGTTTTCTACTCCCACCCCCAGCTTGTTTTCTGAAGCATTAAGTTTCATGGTAGGAGACTGTCTTTCTTCTACAAGAGAAAGATATTAAACCTTGTAGTAAGGAATTGTGCTACCAATGCAAAAGTACATGGTTCAACTCCACAAGCTGCTCTGATGGTGGCGCAATCTCCAAAAGATGGGAAATCTCCTCTCAGGCAATTAATGGCCTCTGAAAACCTGCTGGAGGATTAGCTATGGGTCAGTTCTCACTTGACCTTTCTTCTTGACAAGGACAAGGGGATAGTGAATTGGCTGGTCTGTAGGACAAGGGTCCCATGGACTACAGTAGCTTGACTTGAACCTTGTACACCCAGCCCCAGGTGGAACTGCTATGTGAAAGGCAGGGGTCTTCTAGATTAGGGAAGGGAAGTAGGGATTTCTACAAGACTGATAACCTCAGTGTCTCAGAGTTTGACACTTACTTAGACTGAGGGTATTAGACGTTAGAGCAGGTATGATTTCTCTACTACAGACAGTTTTTTTTCTGAAGTGATGACATCTTCTTGGTACTTTAAACTCAAACACATTTCCCCCCAAAACTAGTTCACTCACATATTTGCAATGCTGGGACCAGGTGCAGCTTTTATGTTTTGTACAATAATTAAATGTGGCGAGCAATCCGAAAAAGCCCAAAGCACACAGGTTTCATTGCAGCTGCAGACTTGTAAATAGAGGGAACGAATACTTACAAACAATTCAGCTGATGAGTGAAGAAATGTCAGCATACTTCTTTCTAAAGAGAATTTGAAGAGCAAACAAATACCTACCTGCTTGTATAGAAACTTGCATAGAAAAAAAAGGAAACATTTATTACCCCATTAAAATGGTGACTTAAGTGGTAAAATAGTCACAGATGAATTCGTTCTCTGCATAAAACAAGGAAGATAATTTTCTTAATTGGTCTGCTTACAAAGTTAATATACACTGTGTTTTACATTATTCTTCATTCACATTGTGTTTCATACAATCATTCTCATACATTATGTGTTATAAAATTAATCTCCATTGAACTTTGCCTATCATTAGCCTGTCTTTGGGAGAGGCTGAAGAGCATTATGCTAAGTGAACTAACTGTCTCATAAGGACAAACTCTTCATAAGACCAATATTGTAAAAATGAAAGAATGATGAGTAAAACATGTAGAGGAATTCAGGGTATGGGGGGAAGGGCTGAGAATGGGTTGCACAGTTTGGTGGGTGGAGGGAGGAAGGAAAGGAAATGGGAAGGATCTGGGCAAAAAGACAGGGTAGATAATTTTATGAAAAAGAATCCATACTTGGCATAAAATGCTCTTGCAGATTATGGTCTCAGTAGCATGATGGGCTGTAGAGCAAATGGTCAGAAAGCAAATCTGTTCTGGTTGTAGAGACCAGAACCAGCCCTTGGAATTTTCTTTTTAAGTTGTGCAGAAAAGTCCTGGTGTTGAGTTTGGTCAAGCACCGGGATACTACTAGGAAGATCAGCAGTTTGAGCCCACACAGAGATGCCTCAGAAAACAGGCCTGGTAACCTGCACCTGGAAGTTCACAGCCTTGGAATCTCGGTGGAGTACCGAGATTAGTGAGTTTAGTGAGTGTGGCGAAGTCTCCTCAGGGTACTCTGTTTTGTTCAAATATTGCTGAGAGTTCATAGGGTGCTCCTCTGGTAAAATCCAGCCAAGCACAATTAGTGCTGATATTCAAGTTAGCAAACTATTTGCAATTCAAAGGAAAATCTGAATGATTCTACATGGGAGGGTTGGAGAGATATCTATGTAGGGGGAGTTTAGAAGATTGTTCAGAAGTGTAAGTCTAGAATGCTCAGGCATTGAGAGTGATAAAGAAAGTAGGATAAAAGTGGAGTGAGTTCCTGCATAGTAAAGTGGACTGTGGACTTGGGCGTGAGGTGTATAACAATGAAAGAAATTTTTTTTGTCTTTTCAAAGAGAAAAACGAACTGAGGAGAAGGGTGGGCAGAGAGGAAAATGTGCAACAATGAATGAATGGGGGATATTAAACTGAAAAAAATATGCTGATATATATATAAAATTAATGGAAAAAAAGTGGAGCAACTTCCAGAGAGGAAATAACTTCAGCAAAAGTACAGAGTCATCACAATAGAGATTCTGCTCAGGAATAGAGGCCCGCAGAAGAATGTGCTCATGAAGAGCAGATGGAACAGTTTATAAACCTATTTCTGAATCCAGTAAGGAAATGGTGGAAATATTAAGGTTTGGAGCACTGTGCTCAGAAGTGATTCAAGCCTACCTGGTTCTGCCATGTCACTTACATCCTGCTTGAACATCTGATCTTTCTCTTACATGTCTGGATACCACTATTTATTTCACCGAGGGATGCTCAAATTCAGGGATAAATGAATTTTACATTTCAAACCAGCATTATGCCACAACAGAAAAATTAGTTAATAACATATATTTTGTTTGACTGGGGACTGGCCAGTCTTCATGGGTCTCCTCTCCAATTGGACAATGAGTTCATCAGCTCAACTGAAAATTCAGAGAAGGAGAAACCAGGCACCATAAATATTTTTAAAGTTCTTATTGGAATTATGTCTGAAGACTGCTCAGGAACTCAATATTCTGACTGTTCACTTACTTGATTTGTATACTGTTTCCTCTCTTATGTAAATGAAAACATCTTTGGTCTTTTGCAGAATTATGCAAGTAAGGTCATGTAATCTGCATAATTTAGGCTGTTGGCAAGTCTTCCTCCAATCATGATGCTACATTCTTCTTAATACATTTCAGCTTCTTGAATGATTTGTCCAGCAAGAGGAGTGGCATCCACTTTCTAAACAACATATCTCTGGTAGCTTTATGAACTTTGAGATATGACAATAGTTATAGAAAGGCTTCAGGTCTTTTGTTCATAGGGTTGCTACGAGTTGTGCTCAATTTGACAGTAATCAATAATAACAACTGATTGACTAGGTATGAATAAAGGATGCAATCATGAGACACAATTTTCTTGTTCTTAAATCATGCAGTGTTTCCAGGGTCACCCATTTTGAATAATATTTCATTAGTTCCTTGTTTTTCAATGCAGAGTAGTATTCCATTGTGTGAACTTATCACAGCTTCTCCATCCATTTGTTTGTTGATGGGCACTTAGGTTGTTTCCAACTCCTTGCTATTGTGAACAAAGCTGCAATAAATATGGGTGTGCATTTATCGGCTTGGTGGCAATTATGGTCTCTTTGGGGTATATTCACATTAGTGGAATTGTTGGGTCAAATGATATCTCTATTTGCACCTTTTTGAGAAAGTGCCACTCTGCCTTCCACAGTGGTTGCACCATTTTTCAGTTCCACAAACAGTGAATAAGGGTTCCAGTTTCTCCACAACCTCTCCAGCATTTGTTACTTGCTGTTCTGTTAAATTTTGCTATTCTTACTGGGATGAGATGATATCTCATAGTTGTTTTTTATTTCTGCCCTAATTTTTTATAATTTCAGGTTTTTTAGAGGGTTTTGGGTTTTCTTGCTATTCTTTTTCAGTTTGTTGGAGATGTTGGGTTAGAGAATCAATGGTAATTTTTTCCTGCCTTTTGATTTGTTTATTTATTGCTATAAATTGACCTCTGATTACTGGTTTAGCTGTTTCCCAGAAATTTTGGTAAGTTGTGTTCTCATTGTCATTTCAAGGAACTTTTTTTTCTTTCATTTTTTATTTCTTCTTGTACCCACTCATGTTCAAGCAAGGTGTTGTTCAACTTCCAGATGTATGAGTTTTTTCCTCCTCCTTTATCCTCTCCTTATTAATTTCTAATTGTGTCACATTGTGATCTGAAAAGATGCTCTGTATGAATTTTATGTTTTTAAAGTAATTTATTCTTGCCTTGTGGCCCAAGAAGTGAGGGACTCTGGAAAACGTTCCATGCACATTGGAGAAGAAGGTATACTGTGCTTTTTTGGGGTGGATTAGCCTATAAATATCTATCTACAAGATGGAGTTGGTTTATTGTGTGGTTTAATTCTTCAGCATCTATGTTGAGTTTCTTTCTGGTAGTTCTATCTTTTCTTAAAAGTGGTATATTGAAGT